TGCCAGGTATAACCAACTCGGTTCAGATATAGGCTTTCACCTCGGAGCTCGACAACGAGGTGCATGAGTAGCACCACCGTCGCAGTCACTTGTGTTGTCACCACCACTTTTCCACAACCCCAACAGCTAAATGCGATATGTGACCGCCACCGCTGCGCAACCATCCCTGTGTGTCAAGTTGTCGTCTGTAGTTTGCATCTTACCGCCGAAGTCAACCATCGGATCTGAAGAGATGAACTACTTAAAGATCTCTTGGTGACAACCGTTGTCGTGGAGCCACACGTGGTCGTTCCAGCACAATCTGCAGCAACCGCCACCTAACCGATTAGACCCGCGTCACCACCAACAAGCCCGCCAGATCTTATATTGACGTATAAATGTATTGACTAGTCTCTTTCATTAGATCGATCTTTTGGTTGCATTGGCTAGAGCATGCACTTATATATGGTATCGAAACCAAGAGGTCTTGAGTTCAAGACCCGGCTGACGCAATTAAAGTGCGGCCCACGTTCGGTCCCCGTTTAGGCTTGAGGGAGCCACACATGGGGGGAGTCTTGACGTATAAATGTATTTCCTAGTCTTGTGGTTGAATCATAATGAACTTCCGCTTCATGCACAACCAAGAAGGAAGGTTATACAAACATAGAGTCACAGGCCAGGTGCTATGGTTGCTGCACTGCTCCCCAAAAGGATTAATGACATCTGCGCTTAGATCAAACCATACGTTCCTTGCGTCACCTGCAAACTCCTTCCTGTACTTTCTCTCTATTTTTCTCCACTGCAACCCGTCAGGGGGTACTCTTAACTTTCCGTCTTTCTTACGGTCTTCTCTGTGACATCGCATCGCCTTGGCATGCTCTTTGTTTAAGAACAAACATTTCAACCGTGGTATTATAGGAGCATACCACGTCACATTGGCAGGAATCTTCTTCCTGGGACGCTCGCCCTCGACATCACCAGGGTCATCGCGGCTGATCTTATAGTGCAATGCACCACATACCAGGCACGCGTTCAAATCCGCGTACTCACCGCGGTTGAGGATGCAGTCATTAGGGCATGCATGTATCTTCTACACCTCTAACCCTAGAGGGCAGACAGTCTTCATTGCTTCGTACGTACTCTCGGGCAATTCGTTGTCCTTTGAAAGCATCTTCTTTAACGTTATCAGCAACTTTCCAAATGCCTTGTCAGATACACCATTCTATGCCATCCATTGCAGTAATTCCAGTATGGTGCCCAGCTTTTTATTGTCAGTTTCGCAATTCGGGTACAACAATTTCTTGTGATCCTATAACATGCGCTGCAACTTCTTTTTCTCCTTTTCACTTGCGCAGTTTCTCTCTGCATCGGTAATGGCCCGACCTAGATCATCAGTTGGCTCATCTGATGCCTCTTGTTTAGCTTCTTCCCGCATTGCCGGCTCAGCTTCTTCCCATATTGTTGTATCATCGTATTCAGGGAACCCATGGCCAGAATAGCTATTGTCGTCCTATTCTTCTTCATCTTCTTCCATCATAACCCCTCTTTCTCCGTGCTTGATCCAAACAATATAGTGGGGCATGAAAACGGACTCAAACAGGTGGACGTGAATGGTTCTTGAGTTAGAGTAATTGTGATCATTCTTACAGCCAGCACATGGACAAGGCACAAAACCATCTACCTGCTTGTTTGCCTAAGCTGCAATTAGAAAAGTATGCACGCGCTCAACGAACTGGGGAGAGCATTGGTCATCGTACATCCATTGATAGCTCATCTTCATTACACAACACCAAATAGACCAAATTAATACAAGTTCATACAATACTTATTCTCATAAAGCAAACATATAAATAACTCTCTAGCTAAAGAATTTAAATGCAACAACAAATGCGATCAACATCGCAACTAAGGTAACAATTGACAACATAGTGATACCAAGCCTCACTATCAATGGCATATTTTCTAATCTTTCTAATCTTCAAGCGCATTTTCTCCATCTTGATTTTGTGATCATCGATGACATCCGCAACATGCAACTCCAATTTCATCTTCTCCCCCTCAATTCTTTTCAATTTTTCTTTCAAATACTCATTTTCTCTTTCAACTAAATTTAACCTCTCGACAATAGGGTCGGTTGGAATTTTCGGTTCACATACCTCCTAGATAAAAATATCTATGTCAACTTGATGGGCATAATTTGTCATAAACACGAAATGCAACAAAATAGTTATAAAAGAAAATATACCACATCCGAATCCTAACCCGGACGAGGGCCGACGGGGACGGATATCAAAACCATGGCACTATGAATAACAAACAACATACGGGTAAGATAATTATACAAGTAACTATATATCTAAATCACACAAACGTGATTTTTTATATATATATATATATAAAATAAGAACAAGAGGCTCACCCCACAAGATGGTGCCGGCGACAGGACGGTGCGGACGATTGATGGTGGTTAGGACGGAGACGGGAAGGCAATAAGTAAACCACACCTACATATGCAAACTAAGAGTTATTTTGAGCTCAAATTGCATATAAATCAAATAAACTACCACATATAATTCCTCTCAAATGACTAAAACCCACAGATTAATGACCATATAAAGCATTGCAAAATCTAATCTAGCAATGAGAGATGAAAGGACAAAGTTGCTTACTTTTGTGATCACTTGAATGGATGGGGGCCTTCAAATCTTGAAAAAAATTTGAGCAAAATGTGAGATGAGCTCGAGGTAGAGGGGAAGAACAGAGAGGAGAGGGGAAAGGGGAAAAGCAGAGATAGCTCAATCGCGGGTGGACGAAGAATTGATATAGGACGACCTTTAGCACCGGTTCTTGCCAGAACCGGTACTAATGGTGCTGGAGGTGCCCCAGACTGACAACATCCTGCCACCATTCTCTTTAATACCAGTTCGTGGCACGAACCGGTGCTAAAGGTTCACCACGAACCGGTATTAATGAGAGCGGCCCAGCTAGCCGTTGGAACTGGCACTAATGATCACATTAGTGCCGGCTCAAATACAAACCGGGACTAATGAGCTGAACATTTGACCCTTTTTCTACTAGTGACATGCACTCACCGTGTGACTCTCATTGGACCTTGGTGAAGTGTATTCTCCATTACATACGCGGCACCACATCCTTGGGACTCACCCTGGCGGCCTCCGCCTCCACCGACCTCGTCGCCTACTCGGACGCCGACTGGGCAGGCTGCCCCGACACCCAGCGCTCTACGTCCGGCTATTACGTCTACCTTGGGCCATCGTTGATCTCTTGGTCATCAAAGTGACAGCCCACGGTCTCCCGCTCCAGCATCGAGGCAGAGTATCGGGTCGTGACTAACACCGTGGCCAAATGCTCTTGGATCTGTCAGCTGCTCCAGGACTTGCTTTGTGTTGTTCACAAGGCCACTCTTGTCTACTGCGATAACGTCAGCGCGGTCTACCTCTTCGTCAACCCGGTGCACCATCGACATACGAAGCATATTGAGTTCGATATTCACTTCGCGCGAGAGCAGGTTGCCCTTGGCCATGTTCGGGTTCTCCATGTTCCGACTATGCAACAGTTTGCTAATGTGATGACTAAGGGATTGCCTACTTCCGTCTTTGAGGAGTTTTGGTCCAGTCTCTGTATCTCTGGTGACGATTCGACTGCGCGAGGGGAGGGGGGTGAGTATATATGTGTTGCATGTATTACGTATATTGTAGCCCACCTCCTGGTTGTCTATAGTTCAGGTCAAGGCCTACCTGTATTTATATATACGTGCACCAGCACCCAATCAATATAATGAATATTGTATTGCCAAATCATCTCTCTACAATTAGTTTGGGTGTATGCAGGGATCCCTATGGACCTTGTACTTTTCTGTCTTGGGGTCCCCGTGCATAATTTTCAGGACATCTGTCAACTCCCTAGTTTCTCTAGCAGTCATCACATTTGTTTGTGCAGGTATTCGGATTGTTGAGTAATGATACACGGGTTTATTCAAAAACAAAAAACTCTATTTTATTACCCAAGAAGGCTTCGTGCGCCGCTTTATAAACAAAGCAACCCCCGGATAAAAGCAACACCCAACCGAAAATGGAGGTCTACAGAATACAATAGAGATTCACAGCTAACGAAAACGAAAAAACAAATAAGTATACGACGCATGTTGGGGGAACAGCAAACACGCCCGCCAAGCTCTATATATGCATGCATGTTTGAAGAAAAGAAACCGAGGCTACGTACGTGCCGTGCGCTCACTCTCACGGCAAGCACGTGCCGTGTGAAACTGAGACTGCGTACTTCCAAGTCCCAAGTCTTCATCTCCATAATGGTATTGTGACTTTTGACTTAATGAAGAAAAAACTCCCATCGATCTATCACGGAGATTGCTTCTACTTTGTACTACGAGCGAGTAGCAAAGCACACGGAGGAGAAGGAAAGCTAATTAAGCAGATCCCACGTATAGCCTCACGCCCACACAAAGCAGCGGAGAACAGAAGGGAAAAACAGAGACGCGCTATAGCTGCAACCTTTGGAGTTCTGAGCATGAACCACACGGCCGTAGACCGGCAAGGAAAGCTGCCCGGTCTGCTTGCTTTGGGCAAAACTATTCTAAGCCATCAATCAGCTAGCTTTACCACCTGATTAAAGGAGAGATATTGGCAGTCTGGGACAGATGCCTTTTGTGACTTAATGGAATATATATTTTCCCATTGTCCACTGTCAACATCCTTTTAGTGCTCACTCCACATGTCAATTTTTCCTCTCTAATGCTAGCTGCTTTCACATGCTTTATTAGGCGAGGTACCAAAAATTTGATCGGGACATGAGCAAGGCTAGTTGCAATGTTAATTGCATGCTCAGCTTCCGACTATAAATACACCATTGAAGCCTCGGGACAAAGCCCATGCCTCATTTCAAGCAAGCTTCTCTCATCTCTGTATCCCAGTAACCTAACCCATTCCAAGCCTGAGGCACCACACCTTCTTACGCGTTAAGCAGCTCGACCACCTCAAACAAAGATGAAGATCGGGAAGGCTTCTGAGCTCGTGAAGAAGGCAGCAGCGATGTGCAAGAGCAAGACCGGCGTGCTCGCCGCCAGGCTCCTCATCCCCGCCTCGCTCCAGCGCCGCAGGATGGCCACGGCACCAGTGGTCTCTCACAAGATCGACGCGCTCATTATGGCCGACTGGGAGAGAGTTGACTGCCACAAGGATCTCACTCTCCGCACGGTCGAGAAGAGACTGGTCGTCGTCCACGAGGATGATTTGGCGGCCAATTTCTCTCATCACTTGGCGGTGTTCAACCAAGAGAATGGTCATGGTGGCTGCCATACTGACAGGACACTACATCCCCTCTTCAACGACGACCACAAGAACTGTCGTTACGCTTACAATGGTGATGTGCCACTTTATTCATGTGATCAAGACGATGATGATGAGCCTTCAGTCATGGATGTGATCAGGAATAACCGAGAAGTTGAGGGGCTGGAGTTCAATATGGAGGAGGAGATTGATCAGGCCGCCGATATGTTCATTAGGAGGTTCCGGCAGCGGTTGAACGAGGGATTTTAGGGTCTTGTTTGCACATGCATGTACCTCGGTCTAGCGAGTTGTCTTCTTTTTAGGTGCCCACAAATTAGAAAATTTTGTAGAAATCAATATGAACAGGTAGGAGTTGAGGCTTGACAAACAATGATCCTCTTTATCATTTATTATTTTAATAATTTTGTCAACATCCAAGATCCCTCGGCCTCGCCTACCACTCCCCAGCTCCCTCTCCCATTACGCCCAACCACCCCGCGCCTTAGAAAACCCACGGTACATATGCATCACTTCTACAAATGGGGGCACTTTCATTGCCCCCTTGTGTTTTCTTTAATTCTCTTCGGCCTTCTTTGGTTTGGAGGAATTTCATAGGAATTTTTGTGTTTTCTTTCTCTTCAGCCTCCTTTGGTTTGGAGGAATTTCATAGGAATTTTAGATGATAGGATTTTTATATGATTTTTTCCTTTAGAGCCCTTTGGTTCATAGGAATAGATTCCTATTCCTACTTAGGATTGGTTCCTATCCTCCATATTTTATAGGAAAATAAAAATGAGCCTAGACTCAATGAAAAAATTCCTTTGGTGTCAACCAAATGACATCTCGTTTTCTATTCTTATTCATAGGATTTGAGATACATGCCATCTCATTTCCTACAAAATTCCTATTTCTATAATAATCCTATCCCTATGAACCAAAACAGGCCTTCAAGTCCCTAAAGATTTTACCAAAAAAATTCACAATTTACATAAGTTGCATCTTCTAAGTATGCCGCTGCCATGGCGACTAGTATCTCTAACTCTCAAATAAGAGAGCTAGCCTACTCCCCCGCACGATCCAGAGGATGCTGCTCCGGCTACTGCTGCTTCCTTCCCTCGGGAATACACAAATGTAAATTTCAGGCGACTTGCATTAGAGCATCTTCAACGGGTGCACAAAAATATCGTGCCCTAAAATAATTTTATCGTGTCACTATAACATTTTTAGTACGCCGGACCCAACGTTGCTTTAACAGATGCCAAAAAACACGGGCTCAAAAGAACATGCAGTGTAAATTATGAAGCGCGCGCAATTCGACGCCTCGAATTTGTAGCTTTTGATAGCGTTTTTCAGCGCGCGTCCAATCATTTTTTGCACGTGCACTATTTTACAGCTTCCGCTGGAGCTGTCCGGCGCCTAAAAAACCCAGATTTTAGCGCGCGGTTCTGTTTTTGGGTGCCTGTTAGAGATGCTCTTAGCTGAAGTGGAGTAGGAAAAAAAGGTTGTATATCCAAAGTAAAAGGAGGCACGTGTGGCGAAGCCGTATATATGTTGCCCTTAGAGCATCTTCAACAAGCGCCGAACGCGCTGCGCGTAAAAAATTGCTTTGCCGCGCGCCCATCGTCTGGTTTGGCGCGGCGCAGCGCTGGCTCCAGCAGCCGTGCTAAATGCAGCGTGCACAACTCGCCGGCACATTGCATATATGACATTTTAAACACAAAATGAAGTTGAAACATTCAAAATGCAATGAACATGACATATAAAATTTCACACAAACAAGTTGATGAAAAAAAGTTCATGCCCACAAGTTCAAAATCATGCCCACAAGTTCATCCAACCAAGTTCAAAATGCAAATTAAGTTCAATACACAAATGGAAGACACATCATTCCTTATCCTCGTCTTCGTCCTCGTCCTCATCTTCGAAAGACGATTCTTCCGCCTCCGAAGATGAATCTTCATCCCTCTTCTCATCGCGCACCGCATCACGTGAAACTCCAACGATGTTGGCAAGATCTTCAACGGCATCTTCATGGGAATGTGTGCGAGGAGGCACATCGAAAGACATTTCGCCCATGGCGGCCGGAGGTGCACCCATGCCGGCGCGTGCGTCCATGGGGTGCAGTTCGCCGGGGCCGGCGCGCGTGGGGCGTAGGAGACGGAGAAGAGAGAGTGCAGTGCAAGTGCTCGAGTGTGTCCAGCGCGGAAGCAGGCGCCCCAAATACACCGCGCGAGATAGCGAATCCGACCGCACGCCCAACTCCTTATACCGCGCGCGCGGTTATTGCGCGCTCGCTGGAGCCACCCGTCGGGTTGCGCGCTCGCTAAACTGGCTAAATTTGCGCCGCGGCACTTGTTTAGCGCGCCTGTTGGAGATGCGCCGAACGGCCGCGCGCAAAAAACTGCTTTGCTGCGCGCCCATCGCCTGATTTGACGCGGCGCGCAGCGCTGGCTCCAGCAGCCGCGCTAAAAAGCAGCGCACGCCGCTCTAGCAGCGCGCGCGACTCTCGCACAAACAACATATGCATTCCAGAACAGAAGCAAAAAGATCAAACACAAACAAAAATCAATCAAAATAAATAGTTCAATTTTGTTATTACAACTCAAACAAATAGTTTATCGTTCAATACAACAAATAGCGCAATAAACACAACAAATAGTTCAACAATACAATATCGAAAGCACAAATCATGATGCTCTTTGTCGTCCATTCCATGCCCATCACTCCTTAATGAGATCCTTCTGAAGATTATTATGCGCTGCGGGACGTCGAATGGCATGATAGGAGGCAACAAAACAGGCCACCCTTTCAGCCCTCCGTCGCACTCGCACGGGGTGTCCCAAGAGCTCATACTGAGAGTAATCTACATCTTGGCCACGCTCATTCTCGATGATCATGTTATGCATGATCACACAAGCGTGCATGATGTACCAAAGCATTTTCTAGTCCCAAAATCTAGCCGGTCCTTTTACAATAGAAAATTGGGCTTGCAAAATCCCAAAAGCTCTCTCCACATCTTTTCTAGCCGCCGCGTGAGCATTATGAAAATCAAGATTTTTCTTACCTTCTGGCTTTTTCAACGGCTTGACAAAGGTATGCCACTTTGGATAGATGCCATCTGCTAGATAATAGCCATGGTTGTATGTACGGCCATTTGCTATAAACTGCACCGGTGGCAACTCACCATTTGCAATCTTATTCATCAGTGGTGACCGGTTGACAACATTGATGTCATTCAAAGATCCAGGTATTCCAAAGAATGCATGCCAAATCCAAGTCTCTTGATCGGCCACTGCTTCAAGGATTATAGTAGAACCCTTTTTTTTGACCATGGAATTGCCCATGCCATGTCTTTGAACAATTCTTCCAACTCCAATGCATGCAATCTATTGAGCCAAGCATGCCAGGAAAGCCGCGAGCTTTGTTCATCGCCAATAGCCTTGCGGCGTCTTCAGCATTGGGAGATCTCAAATACTCCTCGCCAAACACTTGCATAATTCCGACTGCGAAGCGCTTGACACACATGATGGCTTGGCTCTCACCCATAGCCAAGTGATCATCAACTAGATCAGCCGGTATACCGTATGCCAACATACGCAAAGCGGCTGTCACCTTCTGAAAAGTGTTATGCCCGAGCTTTCCGGCTGCATTCCTTCTTTGCTGAAAAAAGCGGTCATGGCTCGCTAGTTTCTCTGCAATGCGCCTGAACAACTCGGTGCTCATCCTAAACCGATGACGAAAATACGACTCGAGGTATGTGGGATTCTCCGTAAAATAATGCCTGATCAATCTGTTGTGGGCATCGATCCTATCCCTCCAAATTTCTTGCCGACCCATAACCGAACCATAGTGCTTCGGTTTTTTATTGATATGCATAGCTAGGATCATTGCAAGATCCTCCTCGTCTTCCATATCAAATTCTTCTTCAGAAGAATCATACGACGAACTCATCTACAATGTTCAATACTATGCTATAAAAACTACAATCAACATGGACGAAATTCATGGCTTTTGAGCAATACATACCTTCTAGGCGTTTTGTTGAACACCTTGCGGGCGCCGAGCGGCAGCGAGCGCGCGGGCGCTGTTCGTCGGAGGACGGACGCGCGCGAGGGGCGGCGGGACTAGAGGAGGGGCCGGAGAAGCCGCCGCGGGGCGGGGATAGGTCGGGGAAGCATTCAAAATGGTCGCCGGGTGGCGTGGTCGGTGGCGGCGGCGTGGCTGGATGGGGGGTGGGAGTTGCGAGTGAGCGCGCGGGAGCGGGCGCAGCAAATAAGTGGCGCGCGATTGAGTTTCGGCCCGCGCGCTGAACTACATATGCCGCGCGCGCTGTTTTTGCGCGCGCGCTGAAGCAACTATACCGGTTGCGCGCGCGCTAAAACGGGCAATTTTACGGCGTGGCGCTAGTTTGACGCGGCTGTTAGAGATGCTCTTATATATTCAGGAGCATCCAACAGCACTGCCAGTCTTGCACGGACTTCTATCAAATCAACGAACTAATTTATTAATCCTCTAACCACTGAACCCTTTAGATTTCGTGTCTGTGGCCAGAGCCTTCGTGCTCGTGTGTGTTGATTATGGTTGTTATGTTTATTAATTTATTAAAGCCGACGCCCCTAGTGTCTTCAATCTAAAAAAAATATTAATCCAGCATCATGCATGTCAGAGCTGGAGGTGTCATGCCGATGCCGGGAGCACCACCTGCCGGAGAATCTGGTAGAGAGCCCGGAGGAATCCCTTGTGTTGCTCTTCCTCGGGCAACCTCAGCATGCTCGCCACCTTATCGAACTTGTCATGTCCAACTGAGGCGTCCCCCGGCGAGGGCACCGGTCCTTGTGGAGCTCCGGCGGCGACAGCGCCCATTGCATCGCCCAGATGGAGAGGGGCCGCATGTAGTGCAGCCCGCGGTAGCCGCCCTCTGCCGTCCAAGCCTCCGGCGTCTGGAACGCGTAGCCGAAGCCGTCCTTGGACCAGCTGGCGTCGTGGGCGCCCTTGGCCGTCCGGAAGCCGGCCTCCAGCATGCCCTCGTGGATCATGGCGGCCGCCACCGCGTAGGTCGTGCCGGGCCATATCTCCTTGGACTGCGTCGACGACATGTCGATGCCGCCGTCCGGCCGCATCCCGTTCACCGCGCCGACCGTCCCGCCCTTCACCCGCATGACGTTGTAGTCCAGCACCGTCCCCAGCGCGCTCCGGGCCTTCTCCTCCTCCACCACCGGCTCCAGGCCGCACGCGCGAGCGTACCACTGCCCGGCGAGCTGGTCGGCCATGATGGAGGAGCTCGTCTTGCCGCCGCTGTTGTCGTAGCTGAAGTAGGCGCCGTTCCAGAGCTCCTCGTCGTACACGCGCCTCGCCATGCGGTACCGCGCACGGAAGTAGAGCTCGGCGTCGCCGTCGCCGACGATGCGCGCCATGGCAGCGGCGGCCTGCAGCGCCGCGACCCAGATCCCGCCGGTGTAGGCGCTGACCCCGGACACGGACCACAGGTCGTAGGTCTGGTCGGGGCGGCCCTCGTTCTCGACCATGCCGTCCCGGTCCCGGTCGAACTGGTCCATGTACGCCATGGCCAGGTACACCGCCGGCCACGCCGCCCTGGCGAAGGCGACGTTGCCCGTGGCGACGACGGCCCGGTAGACCTGCATCACGAACTTGGGGTTGAGGTCCTTCCAGCGCGACGGGTCGTGGAGCATGTAGGCGTTGAGCTCGAACCACGGGTCGTTGAGCCCGACGTCGTGCGGCACCGAGCCGAGGACCTTGCGCGGCACGGTCTTGCCGTCGTTGAGGGTGCGCATGGGACGAGGGTCGTGGAGGAGGACGGCGCGGGCGAAGTCGCGCTGGAGGCTCAGCTCGATCTCCGGGAAGAGGGAGAGCAGCGCGAAGGAGACGTAGAAGTAGTGCACGTCGTAGGTGTTCCACATGTGGTACTCCATCGACTCCAGGTACAAGAACTGCCCCACGTTCTCCTCGCCGTCGCCGAGCAGCGTCGCCCCGAACGCCGCCGCCGACCGCAGGCGCTCCGTCACGGACGTCATCTCGCCCAGGACGCCGTCCACCACCGGGACCGGGGTGCCACTGCCTTGCAGGTCTGTGCGGCGGAACACGTCGAGGGAGAATGGGTCTTGGGTGCCCGTCCCTGATGAGGCAACGCTCATCCTGGGAGGCCGTCCATCTGTGACGACATTTGCCAGAGATTTGTTCTCAGCTCCGTGGTACGATCGAATTCTATTCTGCACAGGCATGCAGATCATAATATACTTGCTGATGGTGATGGAGATACCTGTCCATATGGTGCCTCCAGCGATCAGATAGTAGAGTTCGTTGAACAATGCAAGCGGATACCATTCGGGCAGCCTTTTGTCCTGCAGAATAGGCGTCTGCCACTCTTGGATTTTCGACTCCCACTCCATGTGTTCTACACTCACACAAGGAAGGAAGGAATATCAAATGAGCATCATCAGAATCAAAACCAATGTCGTTTCGTTTCCCCGGCCCCTGTGTGTCCAACAAAACAATCACCAGGGCTAGCTTACCAAGAAGAGCATCATGAGCCAAGCTCTCTGCAGCAGCATCTCGATCCAAGCCACAGAACTTGGTGTACCTCCTGCTCCAAAAAGCTTGTCAGTTATCACAATGAAAAACAAACAGCTACTACCTCTGTAAAGAAATATAAGATCGTTTAGATCACCTGTGATACGTTTTCCCGTCTGTGAACTTCACCTCGGGGCACGACCACGACAGAGCAAACGACACCACGCGGCTCCCCCCTGCCGGCACCGTCGTGGCCGCAGCGACGGCCGCTCCGATGGATGATCCGGGCTTCAACACCCTCGGCTCTTTGCCGGTGCGGGTTTCGCTGAAGGAACCATGTTGTTTGATCTCCTGCCACATGTCCTTGGCCGTGAAGTCGCTTGACTCCGACGATCCCATCGTGAAGAAAGGGCAGTCCGTGACGCGAACGTCCTCCGTTTCTTGAGCCGCAATGGCGAACGTCACCAGCGGGTGCCCATCCGCAGTCCTACATCATTTGGTGCCAGCCATCCCAAGTTTCCTGTTACGCTTGCAGTTCATCTGTATCATTTCAGGTTTTGCAAGACGAAATGTTTACCGAAAAAGGCTCACGCCCAGCTTTATATATAAAGCCAATGCCAAAGCCAACATCCAACAGGTCCACACACACAAAGTCCACACGCACACAGAGTCCAAACAAAAGCAAGCATCAAGGGTTACGGCTGAAGGCACAGCTCAACAAGCCCAACACACACACACACAAAAAGGCACACGCGCCAGGAGGGAAACATCCTCTAGTCGGGCTCCGGGGGTGGCGGCGGGAGCGGAGGCGCCAGGCGGAAGGCCAACGAACGGAGGTCGGTGAGGAGTCTGTTGATGGCGTCCCGGTCCTGAGGGCGGCTAAGCGACCGCCAGAGCTGCAAGTAACCACACATTTTAAAGATGGAGTCAGTAGCACGCCGAAGGGGCACCTTCTGAATGACAAGCTTATTGCGAACCGTCCACAGCGTCCAGGCGAGAACCCCGACGCACAGCCATCTAATATGTCTGTAGCGAGGGGGGAGGCTTGAATTTCCGCAAGCAAGTCAGGGAAGTTGGTGTTGCACCACTGTCCCCCAACCGTTTCGCGGAAACAGGACCAAAGGAACTGTGCCGTGTAGCAAGAGAAGAAGATGTGATTAGCGTCCTCTACCGTGCCACACAGGGGGCACATTCCATCGCCAGGACCATGGCGCTTAAGAACCTCAACGCCGGTCGAGAGGCGGCCGCGGATCCATTGCCAAAGAAAGATCCGAATCTTTAGGGGGAGGCGGATGTCCCAGATCAGACCGAAGGGCTCCGAGGCTGACGAGGGGGCAATAGCCGCGTAGAGGGATTTAGTGGAGAAGCAGCCGAAGGGATCTAGGCGCCAGGAGATGGCGTCCGGAGAGTCGGCCACGTCCATAGGTAAGAGGGCGATGTCCTGAAGGAGGATATCCCAGGCAGCCACATCAGCGGGGCCAAAAGGGCGGCGGAACGCGAGGCGCCCTAAGTCAATAAGGGCCGCCTCCACTGAGACCCGAGGGTCAACTACAATGTCGAATAGGATGGGGAACCGGGCGGCTAGAGGGGCATCTCCGAGCCATCTATCCAGCCAGAACAAGGTCGAGGCTCCAGTGCCCACCGAGATGGATGTGCCTATAGCAAGACCGGCAGCAGCTGGACGACGGCCTGCCAAAACTGGGAACCGCCAGAGCGTTGGCAGAACGCGAGTGGCTGTCCACGCAGGTACTTGTTCTGGATGATAGTGAGCCAGAGGCCTCCATCCCCATTGGCAATGCGCCAGAGCCAGCGGGTCAAGAGGGCGATGTTCATGCGCCGAGAGGACAGAATCCCAAGCCCGCCCTGGTCCTTGGGTTTGCAGATATCTGGCCAGCTGACCATGCGGTATTTCTGCTTGCCCTCCTCCCCAGCCCAGAAGAATCTGGACTGGTATTTGGCGACCTCCTGATGGAGCATTTCATGAAGGCTATAGAAGCTCATGAGGAACCACAGGAGGCTAGCTAGCGAGGAGTTGATAAGGATCACGCGCGCCGCCTTCGACAGCCAACGCCCTTTCCAGGGCTCTACGCGATGTTGCATACGGGTCACCGTGGGGCGGAGGTCCGCCACGGTGAGGCGCGTGTCACTAATGGGGATCCCCAGATAGGTCGTGGGGAAAGAACCCAGCCGACAGTTAAGCCGGTCGGCAATGGACTGTGCGTCCTCTGAGGGGTAACCGAGTACCATCATTTCGCTCTTATCAAAGTTGATGGTGAGGCCCGACATTTGTTGGAAGCACAGAAGAAGGAACTTCAAGTTGGAGATCTCTAGGGCGGAACCCTCGACCATAATAATGGTGTCATCCGCGTATTGGAGAAGGGAAACACCTCCCCCTCCAACAAGGTGCGGGACAAGGCCTCGAATATGCCCAGCAGCCGTGGCCTTATCCAAGATGGCGGCCAGGGCATCCACGACCATGTTGAACAAGAACGGCGAGAAGGGATCTCCCTGCCGGACCCCGCAAAGGGTAGGGAAGAAGGGCCCAATGTCGCCGTTGATGTTCACCGCAGTCCGACCACAGGAGACGAGTTGCATGACGCGGGTCACCCAACGGTCATCGAAGCCCTTGCGGAGCAGGACCTCCCTCAGGAACGGCCAGTGCACCGTGTCGTAGGCTTTGTGGAAGTCCAGCTTAAGAAAGACCGCCCTATGGCGCTTCAGGCGGACCTCGTGGAGGACTTCGTGGAACACCAACACCCCATCCAGGATAAATCGGCCTTGAATATAGGCGGATTGGTTCCGGTGGGTGATTGAGTCCGCAAGGAGGGTCACCCTATTGGCGTACCCTTTAGCCAGGATCCGAAAAATCACATTAAGCACTGTGATGGGGCGGAACTGGCGAATATCGGAGGCGCCCAGGACCTTGGGGATGAGGGTCACAACCCCATAATTAAGGCGCCCCAGGTCCATGGAGCCCGAGTAGAATTCCTCAAAGAGAGCCATGACCTCAAGCTTGATGGTAGGCCAGAACGTCTTGAAGAAAGACACTGGTAGACCGTCCGGTCCCGGGGCCGAGGAGGGGTTCATCCCCTTAATGGCAGCGAGGACCTCGTCCTCGCTAAAGGGGGCAACCAAAGCCGCATTGGCTTCATCCGAGACTACGTGCGCGCCCGACCAAATGTCGGGGGCGAGACTAGCCCCACCGCGCGGGGTGGGGGTAAATAAGGCTCGATAGAAGCCATCCACATGAGAGCGGATGGCCGCGGGGAGAACTAACGGCGAGTCTCCATCCCACAGGCAGTGGATGGAGTTGCGACACCATCACGCTCTCTGTGCAAGAACAAAAAACAGAATGGCAACAACCAATAATTAAGGTCGTCAGTCAGAGAGATTAGATTGCTGCTGCATGCATGGCATGAAACACAAAGTGTGCGGAAAATCAAAAATAATTTGACGCTCATTACATCATCTTGGAGTTGGTGTGATTTCCAGTCAGCTCTGATCTCCCACCAACTGAATTCTAGAGGATGAACAAATAGATATTAGGTCTTCACTCACTGATAAGGTGTTTTTTTTTTCTAATCTTCGTGATAAAATGGCAACGTGTTGGCTTATTGCACTTACAGCCCATGTGAAGAGCAATGTTACATCTGCAGGTGTTCTCCCAGAATTTTGCACCTGCAGCAAGACAAATCAATCATAACTAAGTGCTGAGCTGCAACATGGAAAGTACATGTGGTGTTATTGGATTAAGTTGCTGAAGAAGAAAATGTACCGTAAAAGTGAAAACTGCAACAGGGAAGCTGCTCTCCTTGTAGTTGTGAGGGATGATCGGCGATATCTGACGGCAGGTGATCTTGATTTCAGGGTCAGGCTCACCTACATGGCAATTAGTATACATGGTGTACCACAGAAATCTTCAGTTAGTACATGTATCTATCAGGTAAAGTAAAACATAAGAGAGCATACAAAATCTTGGAATTTACCATCATAAACTGTCCAAGATCTTGGAAACAAGGCATGATAAGTACAGTTTTTCTCCTTAAGCTTCCAGTCCCAAGATCCAATAGTGGCCTTATCGACTCCCCTGCAAGTATGCACAATGAATGATATCTCTGCTCTATCTGAATGGGCAGAAATAACCTTGTCGAGATCCACAGCTTACTTGAGGGCATCAGCAGTCGGCGCAGACAACACCGTCGAGTAGCTCTTTCCGTTGGGACGCGAGACGAACGCCTAGACAAGTGAGTAGTGGCAATCATTTACAAGTTCTTTACAGTTAAGACTTATTATAAGAGTGACACTAGGAATTGCCAATTGGGAAATGGAAGAGTTAAGTATAGTTACTGAAAATTGGTTTGCAAGGATAGGTTTTTCTTCATATAACGCTGGGAATATCTGAAAATGCTGAAAGTATCCTCTGTAGCTTCTCCCAATGCTTCCTGCACTGATAAGAGGATGTGTTTTGAGAACAGGCATGTAGCATCTAGAGTCAATCAGATATAGAGAACATGTTTGGGTTAAAAACCGCCATGGTGAGTTTGAAGGTGATAAAAAAGCCTAGACTTTTGCCGGCTTGGATGGCGGTCCAGCAATAGGATAGGTGTTTAGTCATTGTGTCCTATTTTTGCCGGTTGTGGCGACTTTTCTACTTTTTTCGCTTTTGTTTTCGTACTTGAGATGGTACTCGTATTTTGACACTACATTTGATTAAATAAATGGCTGTGTGCATCGCTTGATGCAGAGGTTGGGGGTATTCCTTCTTTTCGGAAAAAAAGAAGAAAAAAAACCACCATGGCAAGTTTCAAGGTCATAAAAAAGCCTATATGTACCTGATTGGCAGTGAACTTAGCTAATTCAGATTCTGCAAAGAAAAGGCAGAAACTTACCCAAGGCCACCAATGGGTAGGCCACGGTAGCAGTTGTCCATCCATTTCCTGAATGGGTCATATTGTATATCCTTCGCAAAAATGAAGAAATTTTCGTTAAGTTCCATGACAAGGCAGATTAAATTTAGTCAATGGTATATTTATATATGTTCAGCACTCACCCGGCCTTTTCCCATTTGATCGGCATTTACCATCAGTCCCTTGAGAATCAGAGGTATCTGAAAGACCACCAACAAGAATTTGTTTAGTATTAAGTTCACAGAGGAATAACATATGTAGTACCCGTTGCTCAAAGCAAACAACAGTGTTGTTTCATCTGTCGTCAGTTGCTTGCTGGCATGGCTGAGCAAGCCATATGCAGCATGTATCATTGCCAATGCCATCAGGTCTTGCAAAGTGAACAGTATGGGAGAGTTCTCAAAACAGAGTATTTATTGTATTTGATAATTTTGAACCTTTTTTTTTTGCATCGCCTTCTTTTGAAACGAATGAGCTAGTCATGTTTAAAATACTCTACCATTTTGATAATTTTGAACCTTTCATATTCTTCAGAATATGCTCAAAACAGAAACCTCGGAGCTATAAAGTATGTTCAAATACGTACGATTGATATCATGTCATTCATGGTCATGCTAAACTGTTCGATCTTCTTGCCTTCATCATCAAATTTCCTCTGCCAGGTTCTTGTCGCTGGTTGTGCACAATTGATGTGCAAGCGTGCCTAAAGTGGAAAAAAATACAGAACCCATTAGTGCCAGTTTAGTTTGCTGATAAAGGCACAGACAGTACGGACAGAAGCATTTCTAGAAAAAAGCCTTGATCCAAAAAAGCTTGCCCTCACCTTTGTTTGCTCTAAACCTGCACTTCCCATCTTGGTTACAGTACAGACACCGTTTGGGTTGAAGCAGATCAGCTATTTGGATGTGTAGGCAACAGACATATGCATGGTTAGAACTTATAAGGAGAGAGCCACAAACAGTTCTTGGAAAAAGGAGCTGAGTCGCGATCGAGTATAACGATCTCCACTTATAAGACAGAAAAGAAAATGAAAACGAAGCGCTGGCGACGCAACGCAAAAATCTATGGGTTGGACGGACCCCATGTTTCCTGGAAAAATTCCATTTTCCTCGCTACTCCTTTTGTCTCCATCATCCGCATTATTGCTGTCCCTCTCTTTACCCTAAATAAGCTTTTCTAGGGACATCACATCTTTGTTTAATGTGACATGTTTATTGGAACATCATTATGGAACAGATGATGACCACTGTATCCACCCCTTGTGCAAATCATCAATGCAAGTTTCATAGCCCTTTATTTCAGAAAGAAAAACGAAGAAAGATGTGGAAAAACACAGTCATTGCTAGATTCAGTTGCAGAAATATCCCGGCACTAAAACTCATGTCTTCCTGCATCCAACTTTCAAGCGCCAATGCAAGAAACCATACAGAGGTAGAGGACTAACCAAGGGAGAAGGCCAGCAGTACCTGGATCTGAATGCTTCCACTCTACCACACCAGCTGCATCTGCATTGCTTGCTTGGCTCCTTCAGGAGATCCTCGGCTTGTCCTTATAGGACTCAGTTACTCAACGCAATGCCCAACACGAGGTCTTATTGTCCTACAAAACAACAAATTTATTTTTATCCTTGTGCGTCAGGATGGTTGAACTGTCCTTTTTGCCCCCTTTTGTTAATGATAAGAAGTCACATGGGCACAGATTAGTGCCAAGGACACTAGCCATTGAGGCTGCCAATCAAAAACCTCGCAGTCAATTGTTATTTGTTGGGTAGCCTTTTATTGTCTTAGCCATATGAGTATAAAGGAGTTGGATCCTTGTATGGTAGCAATATGTAAAGTGGATGCTCAAAAGCAAACGGATAGCTAGCAGGACAAAGACGTTATGTTAGCTTTGCC